TCCCAGAGGAGAGCGTGGAAAAAGAAACGTAATAGCTAGATCGTTTTGAGCCTCTCTACCATGTGCTCAATACTGATACCTTCTTGACCAACTTGGTTCTGTGTCCAGTGTCCATCCCAGCCTGATGATGTAGGTTCCAGAATCATCTTTTCTTCCCTTGCAGGTGGCGCCGATGGCACTGGGTCTTAGACCCATAGGGTCAGACTGGACTTGGGTTCAGCAACCCCGGTACTTGGGTTCTGTCTGGGAAAGAATTCAGAGCCAAGACTCCACTAGAAGAGAATATTTATTTATAAAGTCACAGAGGTAGAGGAAGTCATTCGTAGAAGAGATGGGCTGAGGAAATGAGTTATGAAGTAAAGGAAGAGCCCTGGGAGCTTGGGAGTGAGGAAGGTAATGATAATGGTAACAAGGGGTGGGGGGGGCGGGGCGGGGGGCAGGAAAGGGGAAGGCTCTGGCGGCTCCCAGGAGGGAGAGCAAGCGCACTGGGTCCTCAGTCCTAGGGCTTTAAGGGTGGAGATCTGAGGGGAGGTCCCAGGAGCTCCTAATGGAATCGTCAGCAGCTTTCCAGGTGTGTCCTTTCAGAGCTGATTGACCGGCTGGCACCAGGGCAGGGGGTCTTTCATCAATGCAGCTGGTCCTGAGGCGGCCATGGGGTCGCTGGTCTAGTTTTGCTGCTTTTCTGGGCCTGGAGCTGAAATACAACCGAGGCCGAGATGCTATCTCTCGGGAGGAAAGGTCAGGGGTCCAAACTGCATGACCATCCCTATGCTAGGGGAGGAAAGGTCACCCTGGTGGTGAGGTCCCACCCTTTGCAGGGCACCCAGGGCTTTTCGCCCTGGTGACCCACTGTCCCCGGCCGTGTCCTTGCCCTGCTCCTGTCTGTCTGACTGCCTAGCACACGTCTACGGAGGAGAGGAGCCCAGGGTTTAACCACTTAGAGCAGAGGAAAATTGGTTGTCAGGAAGGGACTGCCCGGAAGTCGCCACGCTCCCTATTTTGACATATTTCTGATCAGATATGTTGGAAATGGCCCAGGGGGAGCAAAGTGCCCCCCCGCCCCGCTCGTCTGAAGCAGAGCCTCAAGGAGAAACCGTGCCTTCCCCAAATCCCTGGACCTCAGTGACTCAGCCCTGAGCAGGTGGGCAGGCAAGTCTCATTAGGCAACTGAACTTGATCCCATGGTTGGGTGACACTACCCAGCTTCTCAGACACTACTAAGGGCTGTGTGAGGAGCCTGGAGTGGGGGGTCCCCCCTATTAGCTAAAACCGCAGCCCAGAGGAGTCAGTATTTTCTGCTACCGTTAAAAAATAAAAAGTAGCATACTCTCTGTGTCTCCATGGTAACTCACGATGGATCTGTATTCCATTTGTGAAACTCTTCTTGACCTATCATCTATGGCTGCTGATGGGGCCTGAATATACACTGAGAAGCCATCGGGATGAATTCAGTATGCCCTCTGCACTGGTTGTTTTAGCCGTGTAGACCCTGCCACTGGTCCATGCAGTGATGATACCTGGAGACCCTCAGGTACTTGGAAACGTTAAGGCACCGGTAGTATCTCAATTATCCCAATAACTCCGGATGTAGGGTTGCCATGGAGACCGGGAACCTTGGTAACAGAGAAGTGAGGCCGTTCCTCTCCCTTCACAGCACTGGGTCCCTGAGATGCATCGATGTTCAGTCCCATGGCCTAGCCTAGGCTGGGCTGTTTGGTTTTATATCCAGCTAATTGCCCTCCAGCTTATTGAGAATCTTGGCATGAATTTGCATAGGAAATGCACACATTTCTAGCCACCGACTCAAGTATTTTCTGCTAAAAATGGGAGCTGATGGTTTTGACCATGAGCGGGAGTTATACGTCTTATGACCCGGCAAG